ATGGATGGATGGATGGATGGATGGATGGATGGATGGATGGATGGATGTATGGATGTATGGATGTGTGGACATGATGTACTATATGTATATGTCTCGGCAGACATAGATCATTTAATTTGATAAATTGTTTGATGAAAGACAACAATGTGATTATGTGAGCATCTAGTTAAGTTAATGAGGCATCTCATCTTTGCACTGCAAAACTTTCCGAGTAAAGTCTGGTCACGAAGCGCGAAGTAGTGCTTCGGGAAGCCATTTGCGGTGGTTCCCTCTGCCAGGAACTCTGCTTTGAAGGTCTCTACCGCGCACCGCATGGTCTGAAACATAGACATCAGCCAGCTGCCTGATCACGCCCAATGGAATTCACGTTCATTACTGATGCAGTGATGCAAGTCCAACACTGACACTACGATCTGACGTGGTTTTGGCTCTAATTGAGCTGCCAACCAATACTTGTGACATCTTTTGACCTTTTGGCCCATGTCATATCAATATCTAATATCAACAATTGTAGCGGTGGCCGGTTGTTTGATATAAACCCGTCCCCAACCTTCTCAACAATCCACAACAAATGTCGGTAGGTCCATCAAATGGAACACTGTTGGGTACTGCTCTTGAGTATGTTAGCTGCAAAAGCTACACACTGTAACTCTGTTGTGAGTGTTCGTGCATGTAACTGCTGTCAAAGTGAAGACAGTCGTGAGTTGGGGCTAGGCGTTTTGACTCAACTCATATCCATATCCATGTCAGACAAGAGGCGAGGCGAGGGCCACGATCTTTGCATCAGCTTGCGCCATAGGGCATGCGCCACGGGGCCATGCGATAAGATAGTCAGGAAGACAGGATTGGCAATAGCCCAAGGCATGTTACTTGACTAGCAGTGACTTGACTAGCAAGATACTTAGGCCAACTAGCTAGAAGGAGAGATAAAGTTTTTTGTTGTTTGTTGCACTTTGAGCACACAAGCTTCCTAAGTTCTGAACAGTGAGATGAGACGTTGTTCCTTTTTAGGTCTTGAAGTTTGCCACTTCTCCTTGTAGTATTTTGAGAGCCAGTTTCTTTATGTGCTGCAAAAAAAGTACTCACTGCACCTTCAGGTCAGTCTGATGTGAGGATGCGACATAAAATTCCAACAACATCCCATTCCAATCTCAATATCTTTGGCTTAAAAAGCCGGGAATGAAACTAGACTGTGCTGATGCGCTGCTATGTGAATGTCGGATGCCGCAAGCCGCTAATATATCCCATTGCCACACACACCCAGGGGGGCCATGTTTTGCTGCCTGCACGTACAGCATGCTTGCACCAACCCCGTTCATACCACGCACGAACCCCGTTCATACCACGCACGAACCTCGTACATCGTACAAACCTTGCTCGTGCCATGTTCGTACCACGTTCGTTTTGCAAAAAAGCTACCCTCGTACACCCCGCGGTAAAAAGTAACAAACCACAGGTTTACGATCTCTTCGTTTTTGATAAAATATATTTATATAACAACAATAACTGCTCACTTTCACTGTTGCACGGTGCAGTAAAGCGCATCGCCTATAATAACAAATTAGAAATAAACAATCCTATTCCAACATCGCTGTAAGTCGGCGATCCTAGTTTCAGGGTCTAGGAGTCGTCTTCTTCGTCTCTTTCTCACTCAACCAAACGATGGTCTGTGAAGGGCCATCTCTAGATTGAATCACTCAACTAGACTGTTTGCTCAACAAGTTCAGCTCCAGCTTGGTTTCTGATTCCGATTAGTTCCATCACTGGACTGTTTGCTCTGGTTGATTCTGTGTTTTCATGCTCTGTTTGATCCAAATCCCGTATGCGCAGCTCGCAGTACTTCTCACCTTTCCCCAGAGCATACCGGAGAATGCATTCTTTTATCCGGCACAACGCGTGTGTATCCAAATAGGATTTCAGGATTTCAGAGGAGGGTGTCTTTTGTTGGAAGTATGAAGTCTAAATTCTGGGTGTTTTGACAAAGAAGCTTCAATTATGCAACTGTGATTGCTAGACATACAAGATCATACAAGATATGCGCAATGGCCTGACAGCCAATCTGGGTTCGATCGTGCTTGCCACCTGAATGACTTATATTCGCAACAATTACATGGGGCTGTAGACTGACTGAACATAATGTCGTAGCATGATCTCATCTGAGCATTGTCAAACATTGCAGAACAGCAGCACCATGACCTGTGCCACAGGTGGAAGAGTGTGCGCCCAGTGCCACTGGAGCATGCAGATAGAATGTCCACAGAATCTCAGTGTCAAGGGTGGTTGCAAAAGCTCTAAGTAGTCCACTTTACACAAGTCGTGCCACTCAATTTTTTCCTCGTCAGCATATCCTCCAGGCTCATGCGATTCCCTCACCCACAAGTAACCAGAACCGGATAAGACAGGAAGATATAGGAAGCTTCCTGAACAGATTCGAGCTTGACACTTGCATCCTACTGCTCATCCAGGTGAGGGAAGGCACCACTGCACGCGAGGTTGGCGGTGAGATCTGCCGTCAGGTTGCATCTTACATCTGCTGCCGTCCTTTGACGTGGCAGATATCATGCATGGCAGTCTTGCATCTGGCGCATGTCAAGACACATGATCCACTTCTCCTGGCCCACTCGAGTTGTGGGCCATTCCTTGAAGGAAAGTTCGATGACCCCGCTTGATGGGCAAAACATGGAAAATGCATGCACACAGTATACCCTCATAGAGGAAGTTAAACATTGCCATGATGTCTGGAATGTCTCAGGGTCCAGTGACTTCCGGAGTCATTGGCTTTCCGAAATAAGGCATGCAGTGTTGCTATTCGGAAACGCCCTGGCATTGCTCCACCATGGCTGGCCACTGCAGCCTCATCCAGCGCTGTTCAACACCACCCAACAAACCCATCGCCAAACATATGTAAAGAATCGCCCCACTTCCACAAGCCCTACTTTTGAATCTAGGCATCTGCCGATCTTCCTACTGCACAGAGCTGTTTGGCTTTCTTGGTCCGCGGAATGGGCCAACACCTTCTCTTGTCAGACCCCCTCAGTTTTTCTGCAAACTGAAGGTGAACCGAACTGTCCACTGGTATACCCTCATAGAGGAAGTTCAACCGTTCAACCTCTTATGTCTGGAAGGTCGCCCCGGGTCCACTTCGGGCTTTGAGCGGGACCTGTCCGGTTGGAGTTCACCTGCTGTCCCCGAAATCCAACCAGGTGACGAACAGGGTCATCCAAAAACAATGGTGACCTGCAGGTGATCCGCGGACTTCCCCGGGTCGCTCCGCTCGTTCTTCCGCCGGTTCCTGACGAGGCCGGCACCTTCGGCGGATCCTCCTCATCGAGCCGTGAGCGGCACCGGCGGCAGCTTGGAGCGCTTTCCGGGGGACCTCGGTGTTCGGCATGGTTGGACGAAAAAAGGGGAATCATCAGAGTTGAGGAGACTTCAAGTCACTTGCAGTAGCTGTTTGTATGCCAAATGGTGATTTCTTCCAAACGGACATGGTTCGACCTGACACACAATCTAGGAAAGCTAAAGTCCTGGTATTGGTGCTGGTGTTGCACTGAAGTTCTTTGCAGGTTGATTATCCTACTCTCAGTATCTCAAGGAAACACAGAAGGCAGGTTGGACTGCTTGCCTGATTGCCCATGGTGCCACCTCAATCGTCTTCCCAATGCCTCGAAGGTCCAAACACCAGGTCTCCCAACACCTTCACCGGAGGCGAGCCTCAGCGCCGCGGGTCGAGTGGATGGGAGGGCCGCGGGGAGATGGGGAGATGGGGCACCAGTTGGCACATGACGTCATGTGGCAAAAACGGTCGACGTAGACGTCATGAATAGTCTATAGCCGCAGCGAGGTTTTTCTAGCACAGCCTGGAACGTGTGGGAGTGGCTCAAGTCTGCCAGGCTGAACAGACCTTATGTTTCCTTTAAAAAAACGGATGCACCAAAGACGACCCATGTTGGGAAGTTACAGCACTCAACTGTTCAACATAAAAAGGGTTCTTGCTGCCCCCACAGTCCGCATCCTGTGCTTCCGCACCCAAAGCTTCTGCCTGCATCGCTGAGAGTCTCTGCGTATGGACCGGAAATTCCTTGGGATCTTCACAGTTTCGAAGTGCCACATCTCCATCCTTGTTGAAGGTGCAAGGAGAAAAGGAATAGTCGCACTGCCATTTGCAAAGCACAAATCTTCCGCCACTCTGCTCCGCTTTTCGTGCTTCATGACTTGTGACATGTGTCTTTGTCGCTTTGTGCATGAAGCGAGCTTCTGCTTGTTACCCACTCCACACACTCTCTCTGCAAAGCCACACTAGCCGCTCACTAGCCCAAAGTCATCTCCTCTTCAAGAGGCAGAGCAATCCCCTCACACCCCTCACACCCCCAAAAATCAAAGCCAATTTTCCCCCGCCTGCATCTCGTATCGTCCAAATAAATCTCCTTTCACCCGCGTCGATTGCCCCAACGCTCCCGCGCCCCAGGGCGGAACCGACTTCGGCGCGGGAGGTTCCCCCCGCGCGCCGAAGTCCGGCGACGCGCGCCCGTTCCGGTGGCCGCGCGGCGCCAGCGGCGCCAGCGGCGCCGTGGTGGCCGTGGCCAGCTCATCGGAGGGGCGCCGGCGGTCCGGTGGAGTTCCGGCGTTCACGGGCTCCGGACAGGCTGGGATCAGGGCCTGAGAGAAAGCAGGGACATGGCCGGCAGGGCCGGCATGATCTAAGCAGCTTTTTTCGATGGTTTCTGTTTGCTTCACCCTGTGTGCGGCAGATAAACCATGCGTTTTGGGCATGACAAACCTTGGAGTGTTGCTTAAAGCTAGGTTGTTTGAGATCTATCATGAGTCTGGATGTGCAGAGGCATCTCATTGTTTGTGCATCTTTGCCTCCAGTGCTGAGCATGTGACAAGGTCCTGCTTGTACGCATCAATCTTCGCATCGCAAGCCTGTAACCTCATTCTCTGCAAGGGCATCGCAATCAATGGCTGCCCCTTGCTGTTTGGCACAAAATCCCGCATGGCATTGCACAGCTTTAGAAGAGAAAGACGACACAATGTGACACCACCTCTCTTCGAAGACTCAGTAGGGCGTCAGAAAGGCTGGCTCTAGGTTCTGTGGCATCTCGGATCTGGCTCTAAGCAGCATGCCCAAAAAATCCGCGCTCCCAGACCACCACGAGTGGGATTTTTTCGAGAAATCAGACCTCTAAGGAAGGCACCCTCTTGCGACTTGGAGGAAAAAGGCTGGACTAAGAGTTCTCGCCTCCACACCAAGCACGGACCCCTTCGTTACGGCCGGCCCGTGACACCAGTTCCGCACCCCGCTCGGCACCCCGGCTCTGCACGGAGTCGACAGAGCAGGGACCTCACGGACCGAAGCCAAAGCATGTAAAGCTCATAGAGCTGAAGGGAGGAGTGCCTCTCGGCAAAGAAGGAAATACTGCAGCATAGCAGCATAGAGTAGGTGAATGAAACCCACGTCGAAGCAACATGTTGCTTAAGTGGCTGTGGTTTGGCCGACATCTGGTCCATTCAGGCTACTGAGTAACTGTGTACTCCCTTCCTTGGCCGTCAGCCTGTCAGCAGCGCTCAAAGTGCCATTGCTTTGAATGACCACAATCCTCGAAGAGGTCATAAAGGGTCGACGGTCAGCGATGCGACGGTCAGCAGCACTCAGGTCAGGGGGGGGGAAGTCGATGTGTCACAGCTCGACCCCCAAGGGGGGCCAAAAACATCCGATGTGCCGTACTCCATCTGTGCTGTGCTTGGGACCTAGCACCTACCTAGCACCTACCTCCTACAAGGGCACCTAGGCCTAGGTAAGGCTCCGACGATCCCATTGCGATCTCCGCGTTTGCCGCTCCGCCCCGGTGCCCAACACCGAGGTCTCTCTACCCCGTGGTCTCACCGGTCTCTCTGGGCGTTCAACCCACGTCGGCCCGGGCGCTCCGCGGCCGGTCCTGTTCGTCAGCCACTTCTGCCGCTCCTGCAGAAGCACCTCATGGCATGGGCACGGTTTTGGGCAACCAAGACCGGGGAGACTGTCCTGTCTAGGCTTCCATAAAAATCACTCAAGCATTGAAGGCCCCAGTATTGCTTGTGTTCCTTTACTATCTGTCACGTTGATGAAGCAACCATGTTTGACCCACAATAGAAAAAGCAATGTATGATATGTGTGCACGTGACAGTTGCAAGCACAGGTGGATAGAACATGATAGGACGGTGATACAAGTTTGGGGTAGAAAGAAGAATCCCAGTTAGAATTGCTTGGAGTCCCAACATCAGCCCCATACTGCAATGACCCAAGCGTCCCCATGACTTATACTTGGCAAAATGGAAGTCATTGCACTCTTCTACAAACCGTCACTGTTCTCTACACTGCTGCAAAAATCCAAGATCACCACAGTTTCACCCTAAGCTGTTTGACCTCCGGCGGTCAGGTTTGTCCAATCACTGAACTGTGGTCCTCTCCGGTCGCGGCGGAGCGCTCCGCCTGTTCGGCATCTTGGACTTCGCGTTTGTAGCTGACCATCTGCAGTTCCACATCCCGGCTCACCTGCAAGCAGCAAAAGTAGCATGCTCTCGTAGGGTACTGGAGCAGGGAAAAAGACAGGTGGCGAAATGCATAGGGTATGGACAGGAAAATGCTGCAGTGTACTGTATTACTTTTCGATGAAGAACCAACCGTCTAAATGTTTGTTTTTCGCACGTTGGATTGGACTGGTGAGTGCCTCCACCCCGCTCCCGCAAGTTGAATGGGAAGCAGATCATCACAGCTTTGCTGTGAGAATCGGTAAAGAGGTAGCAAAAATCGAGGATGCCCAAATCCAAAAAGAGCATGCAATTAATGCGCCCTCTCGAGTCTAAGGTGCTTGTATTCTCCACGATCTAAGAGACCTGCAAGTTTTGTGAGCATAAGCTCCTTCTTGCTTCTGTAGTT